TTCATTGTGGTTTTAAGTTTCATTTTCCTGATGATTAGTGACATTGGAGATAAAAGACCTGTATACCCCAAATTAAAAGACACTGAAGAAATAAAGAAAGAAAGAAGTTAAATAAATGGAAGTATGAGGTCTGTCCAGAAAAAGTAGAATGATTGTTAACGTAACAAGAATGGTTTGCACAACATCGATGTAACCTGGCAGCCAAGGAGAGTGGACTGGAATGTGCAGCATGCATGAACAATAATGACTTCTTACTGTACTAGTCAGTGGGGGCAGTAGAAGCTATTGAGTGAGCATGTGTATTGTGTGGCCATTGCATTCAAAATGACTGAACAGGTAGAGCAATGAATCTGCATTGAATTTTGCATTAAGGTTGAACAGTTCATGGACAATATTCAGGTGATTCAGAAGGCCACAGCTATAGGCAACTGGTGACTGGCAGCTTCATGATGACAATGTGCCCACTCATGCATCATATCTTGTATAGAGTTGTTTGGTGAAACATCAAATCACCCAAGTGACTTAGCCTTGCTACAGCCCAGATTTAGTACCCTGTGACTTCTGGCTTTTCCCAAAACTAAAATCACCTTTGAAAGGGAAGAGATTTCAGACTGTTGATGAGATTCAGGAAAACACAATGGGGCAAGTGATGGTGACTGGGAGAACTGTGTGAGGTCCCAAGGTGCCTACTTTGAAGGGGACTGAAGTGTCACTGTCCTGTGTACAATATATCTTGTATTTTGTATCTTCTTAGTGAATGTCTTTATTTTTCATATGACATGACTGGAAACCTCCTGGACAGGTCTCTTTTGTATATATTGTGCTTATAGATAGGAAGAACTAACATCATTAAATATCTTTATTACCCAAAGCAATCTATAGATTCAATGCAATTCTTATTGAAATACCAGTGGAATATTTCACAGACCTAGAACAAATAATCCAAAAATTTATATGAAACTGCAAAAGACACTGAATAACAACAGCAATCTTGAGAAAGAACAACAAAGTTGGAGGAATCTGCTACCTCATATCAAACTATACTACAAGACTGTAGTAATAAAAACAGCATGGTACTGGCATAAAAACAGGCATGTAGGTCAATGGAACAGAATAAAGATCCCAGAAATAAACCCACACCTATACAATCAATTAATATTTAACAAAGGAGTTGAGAATATACAATGGGGTAAAGACAATCTATTTAATAATTGGTGTTGGGAAAATTGAACAGGTACATACACAAAAATATGAAACTAGACTACTTTTTTATACCATGCACAAGAATAAGCACAAAATGAATTAAAGACTTAAATGTAAACTTCATGCCATAAAACTCCTAGAAGAAAACATAGGCAGTAAAATCTCTTACATTTCTGTTAGTAGTATTGTTTGTGTACGTGTATATATACATATATATATCTCCTTGGGCAAGAGAAACAAAAGAAAAATATCACAACAAATTATCTTTTAGATTAGACAAGGAATGCAGGAGGTAAATTGTGAAAAAACAGAAGCAAAACATCTGTACATCTCTCATGTCAGGGTGGTTTAGTTCTTTTCATATGTTTTATTTCATTAAATACTCTTAAGTGACACACTACTAATTAAAATATTCAATTAAGGTAGAATATAAGATGTTTGTATAAATATTCCCTCAAAATATTAAGTTAAACAAAAGTATTGGATCAAATGAAAGCTTTGTTTTTTTAAGATAAAAAACACATGTTTACATAAAAAATTTAAGAAAAATAAACAAATGTAAGATTTAAAAAATCCATAGTTCACTACCAGGAGATGAACAGTGTTAATACTTGTTAACATTTTCTATTTCTCTTTCTCACCCTCTTTCTATACACACACACACACACACACACACACACACACACATCATAGATACATATACATTCACATATATGTTAAATGTATGCATGCATATAAATACATAGGTACATAAAATATATGAATATTTTTACATGCATGAAATTTCTCTAATACTGTTTACTATTCTACTTATCTATTCTAGTGTTTACAGAATACTATTTCAGCTTATTCCTAATAACTAATGTTGCTGGCAACATGAACATGGACTTTAAGGAGCATCTTCATTTTTAACAAACCTTCCTAAACAACTGATTTCAAGTTCAAAGAGTATGATTCTTTAAGAGTTTTAATGTATGCTGCCAAGTCACACCCAGAAAGGACAAACCCCAAGAATAAGACAGTAACCAAACCTGAGCATTCATCAAAACTGAATGTTGTCAGAAAATATACCTTATTATTACTCACTTGCTTTCTAATGAGACGCATATATAGTTTTTAAATTATTTATTTATTTATTTATTTTTAGAGAGCAGGGAAGGTAGGGAAGGGGAAAGAGAGAGAGAGAAACACTGTGTCTCTCCAAGGCTCCCAACTGGGACCTGGCCTGCCATCCAGGCAGTTACCTGACTAAGAACTGAACTTGTGACTTTGCAATTCATAGGCTGGCACTCATAGCCTGGCACTGAGGCACAACAGTCAGGGTGAAATGCATGTATTTTTTCATTTTGTTGAACTTCTTTTATGATGTTCTGTTGTCTACTTTTCACTTTCAGAATCATTGTCTTATTATTGATTAATAAGAAGTTTTTATGTACTAAAGATATTAGATATTTATTGTGTATTATACTTTACAAGTTTGTTACTTGCCATTTCATCTTTGGTCATAGTGTGTCAAGCCAAATCTTTTAATTTTCATGTAACAGATCAAATCTGTCTTTGAGGTGCTCTACTTCTGTCATCACGTATAAAATGTCCTCTCAGCCCAGTTACATGCAAATAGTCATCCATAGTCTCTCCTAAAACTTTTTGATGTTGTTTCTTACATTTAAATCTTTAACATGTAAGAAATTTATTTTGGTATTTGAAGTAAAATAGAAACTTTAATTATTTTAAGATGGTTAACAACTTGTCAAAAATCACTTATTAAATAAAACATCCTAATATTTATTATATATTAATCTCTTTCTACAGATATCTGAAAATATATCTATATTTATATATATTTCTGTGTCTGTAATTTTTATTTATATCATTGATCTCTTCAGTGGCAATCTCCACTGTTTTAATGAACTATTTTACCTTAAAATACCTTCTGATTTATTAAGACAATGATGATCCACCATATTACTTTTCTATTTTTACCTAGCCTTTCAAAATGCATTTAAAATTTTTTTTAAAGATTTATTTATTTATTTTTAGAGCGGGAAGGGAGGGAGAAAGAGGGAGAGAGAGAGAAACATCAATGTGTGGGTGCTGGGGGTCATGGCCTGCAACGCAGGCATGTACCCTGACTGGGAATCGAACCAGCAACACTTTGGTTCACAGCCCATGCTCAATCCACTGAGCTATGCCACCCAGGGCTTAAAAAAATTTTATTTTAGTGTTTTCATCTATAGGTCCTGTCTTTTAACTAGACAAAATATTTTTTATCAAGCATTCTTGGAATAGGTATCTAGTCTTTTCCATGGAAATGCCTTGCAGTGAGGGCTGAGAAATCACACTGTTATTGAATCCCTGCAACAATGATTGTGACCAACATCAGTGGTGACCCCGTGAGCTGAAAGCTCCAGAGATAAAGCAGAGCAAGGAGCAGGAAGTGAGGTAATGTGAGTGCTGGGCTGTGAGGACACGGCCACACCCTGGCTTATTTCTGGCCTGTGCATGTGACATGTATTCACACACATTGCTATCTTTATTCTCTCCAGGATATGCCAAATAAAGGAACAACTGCAAAGGCTGTCATCTTAGAAAATTAATTAGAAAAAATGGTATAATTAAGTCTCACATATACACAAAATAGAAACTTGGAGGCTCTTCTAAGATGTGGCATAACTTTGGATGAAACAAGCTAGTGTTTTGGGGCATTTTGATCAGTTGACTTGCTCTAACCCCTCTCATAATGAATCCTTCCCGGCCCTAGGCAGCAGTGAAATGAAGGTACCTCCTCCTTATAAACAGGTAAACATATAATTTTGGAATGGTTTTTGTTTGTTTGTTTGTTGTTGTTTTTGTGGAGCAGATGAATCTATACTGATCCATGGACACCCAGGAGGCTTATGCCTAAAAGTATATAAAAGGGCAACCAGCTGAGATGAAATGTGAAGACTGCGGCTGAGGAAAAGTATAGCGTTACTGGCACACAGGGAATGCAGCCAGGGTCGTGGCTGTGTACTCACCATGTTTTAGTCAATTGCTTCTAATATTAAAGAGACCACTGATACATGGAGTATCTAGCTTGCTTGGCATTCTGATTTGAGGAAGCCATTCCTTCCCACTTACTGGAGTGTTGCACGAGCATCCCATGCCAGTGCCTTTCTAATAGCATTTTTCTAGAACAGGGCATCCTCGAGGGATTGTAAGTATTTTTTTCCTATTCATCAAATTCCAACAATAAAAACCAGTAATAATCAGTGAACATTTGCAAATCTTTGCTTAGTTCTACTAGAAATATCCTGAGAAACATCCGTGGACATCCCTAAGAAGTCTCTTTGCTTAAGAGCAGAGCATGTTCTATTTAATCAGGTTTTGCACTTATCTTCAGAAGATGGCCACTAATCTGGCTTTCAATTTGGAAATAGAAAAGAAAAATTGATTCCTCTTGGATTTTGCTCTAAAATTTAACCCTCAGGCAGTTAAAGCCTCTTTATCCAAACTGAGTCACTCTTTAAAGAGGCCCCTTTATAAGCACTCCAAAAAGCAATTTCAAAACAAAAGTTAGAAAGCTGTATGACCTATTCTCAAGAAAGATCTGTTTCTGTTCAAAACCCGCCCTGACCTTTTTGTTGAAGAAGAACAAAATAATGTAGTAACAAAAACACAAGTGGCTGCCAAAGGAAGAGAGAAAAAAAAAAGTTCCTGTAAGGGACTGAAACAATAAATCTCCTCTCTGCTGAACTCCCAAAGGGAGTGTGTGCATTTCCTCCGGTTCTTTATCAGAGCCCCCGAAATAAGTAGGAATGGGCAGTGGTTGTTCACATTCAGCACACCTTTTCCATTTGCTAATAAGGTCCTGCCAGACTGGAAGGGAGTTGTCCCTGTCTGACTCTGGAGTGAGGAGCTCCTGCAACACTCCACCGGCACCATGAAACTGCTGCAAGTGACCATCCTTTGTCTGCTGCTTGTTTCCAGTCTTCGTAGTGAAGGCAACGGTACCATTTTCTCTTATTCCTCTGATGGTGTAGATTAGATGTCACTAGCAGGAGCTGTTAGCCTCAGTTGACCATCAGGGAGTTTCCCCTGAAACTTAGATGCAGCAGTTCATTTGCTGAGTGGAGGGTGTGGGTGCCGCCTGAGTGTGTAGAGCAGGCTCCACAGCGAGGATGCTTGCTTTCCCTGAAGGGAAATGTTTGCCTGTGCGGAGGCCTTGAAGTGTAGTTAACAGCATCATAAAGGTACTGGAAATATACAATGACCTTTTTAGAGAATAAAAATCTGGGAATTAAAAGCTGGTTTATAGTGTTCTCTTTTCAGACACAAGTCTAGAAATAACAAGGTTGTCATGTAGGGGTGAAAGGCTGTAGCTGGAAAAATCTCATTGCAGATGCTGGCCTATGCTTTTACCAGCTGTATTTCAGCTTTGATAAATCGAGAGGTTAAGTGCCTAGAGGAGTGAATCGTAGTATTTTGAGGAGTGCAGTAGGTAAAGAGGAGAGTCATTTGATTAAAGTTTATAGATGTTTGCTCCAGAAATATGCACATATTTACACACAACATTTTGCATAACATTTCAGTGTGTTCTGGACATAAAACTTTACCCACTGATTGCAGATTCTGAAACTCAGATGAAGGCTATATATTAAAGGCTATATGTGTACCTGCCTAAGCCCTGACTCTATTAGTGACTAGTTGCAAGAAATGATTACATTTGTCTTTTAACCCTTTTAGAAGTAGTCACAGTAAACAATTAAATGAAATCAATATTTCTTAGACTCTTGCCATGGTCTCAGCAGTGCAAGGAATAAAAAATGAACAAGGCATTGTTCTTGCCCATAGTGGTAAATATACTATTGGGAGAAATAAGCATGTAATTCAATACAAGACAGACTTAATAAATGCGATACAAACTGTCATAAAAGAACTCAGTGGGGAAAGATTGACTCTGACTCTGAGGAGCCTTGGGGGGGAAAATATAAAAACTTCTGTTCTAATTTCATTTTGCTTGTGCTCTTTTCAAAAGTTTGCTTCCTATAAAATTCTAATTTCCAGTGATAATGTAGGAAAACACAATGAGCACACTCTTCTAAAATACATTTATCATTAATTTCTCAAATATATTTGTAAATTTAGGATAAATTCCTGAATACTTCAAAATCACATATGATTGTTCACCATGCATCTTGAAGTTTTCAGGGTTACGTTGCCATGGCTATCAAGGCCATAACATTTACTTGGAAGGATTACTAAGAATCTGATTTCTTAAACAAAGGATATTTATGAGGTGTCACAGAAATCAATGCGCTGGTTTAGAAGTAGTTCTTCAGTATGCACGGGAACGACTAATCAGAATCCTGATGCTCTGAAAACACTGGTCACAAGCAGGTGTCAGGTCGATGTAAACTCTGAAAGTTGGGGTGAGGCTGCTCTCCGTTTCAGGTCCATGAGCATCATGAGGACACTACTTTCCTGGCATTGTTAAACTCTGAATGAATCTGTCCTTCTGAAAGCAAAGAGGAATAAGATCAACAGAAGCAGCCTGCAAAATGTGGCCGTTAAGAAGAAGGAAAGTTGAAGGACCACCCAGAGGTGGCCTAGTAGATTTTTCTACATGGGTATTTTTGGGAAAACACCAGACTCTTTTAGCTCACTGGTAATGAGCTTAACCTCTCGGTTAACAGTATCTTCTTTCTAATGAACTATTAACTCAAGTAAGATATTTGTCATTGGAGCAGAGATAGCAGTTACATAATGACTACCTTCTTCAACCTCTGCCAACAAGCCTATCTGTTAACTTTAGGCAAGTGCTTGTAAGAACCACTCCATTTGTCTTAGAAGGGAAAGCTCTAGTTTGGGGGTGTAATTTGACCATCTAAGTGGTGCCTATGAGCTGGAAGAGATTTTCCCATCCACGTGAATGATTTTGTTGCACCTGGCTCTGCCTGTTTTATGTTTTCCTTTGCAGATATGGTGCAGGAAATGAAGCATTTCCCAAACTGATTTGTTAAGATTTTTCCTTAACTCCCTTTACCAGAAACACAGATTTCAAAGCTTTATATATTCTCAAAACTTAGAATACTTAACATATTTCATCGACAGAGTTGATTTTTGGAGGTGGGGAGGGAGGCATTTCATCTATACTAAATTCATAAGTTGTCAAAATGATCCATGCTTTTCTTTGCATAGTAATTTATTCCTAAATAATGATCTTTTAAAAAAAATTAACTACTTTATTTTTCTTTCTTATTCTTTTGTCAAGTCAGTCTGAGATTTAAATCAATACAATGTAGTCCTTTGTGATCTTTGAGAAAACCAAGGGAATCTTTCTATTTGGAAGTGAATGACTTTCTATTACTTGGTTGGTGGTATAATATTTTACAGTCTCCAATTTGGAAAGCTGTTCCATTGAGATATATATGGAAGTTTCCCGAAAAGGAACTGTCATTTTTTCCTGAGGTTTTCTAAATTATATTCCAAACTGAACAGACCCCTACAGTGGCATTTGAGCCCTTTTGGCTTGTAAGTCTAAATCAATAAGCTTTTGAGTGTTGTGACTGAAAGAAGTTAAATAAAAGAGGGATCCCAAGAAAAAAGGATGCCTTAAAGCAACTTAATCTTCAAGTATCATTTGATTTTTCAACTTTATATTAATTTAGGAAATATTAAAATGTTTTAGGCACTTGCAAGTAAGAACAAATATCACTTTATTGCTATCTGAGGAATAATTTAATTGCTTGGAGAAATTCCTTTGTTAGTAATTGAACATTCAATTTCATGGGGAAATGGATTGTACACACTGAAACATACACTGTGCTAAATGCTGTAGGTTTATGGAAATCAATTGGACTCAGCCTTTGCCTTTAGAAGTGGGGGGGCGGGGAGGAAGGAGCCAAGTAATTATAACTTTGATTAGGTTGTATCTTAGTTTGGGGTAGAGGGACATCAGAAACATCTTCATCTAAAAGTGGAAATTATGATAAGCTATGAAGCTTGAAAATGAGAAGGTTCCAGATAAATGTAAATTCCTGAGTAGGAACATTAAACATCAGTATAGTCCAGTTGGGAAATAAAAGACAGTCACAGGTTGAACATAGATAAATGTCGGGAAATAAGGATGGAAATACAGCCTCAGGATATGTTGAATACCAAGATGAAAAATATTGTCTCATATAATTAATTAGTTTAGAGCTTCTAAATGTGTTGGAGTATGGAAATTATACTACTGGGCTATACCTTGGGAAGATTAATCTGTGAGCAGGATATAGACTGCACAGTTAGGAAAGGTAAAAGTTAAAGAAAATAGTTCAAATGTTATTGCAAGTCTAAGAGTCTGTCAATAAAATGAAAAGAAGGGTCTGAAGAAAAGTTTTAAGAAGTGGAAAGTTTGTGATTTGACATGTTATTGACTGGCAATGAGGGAGAGAGTGACCTGGACATACAGAGGGTTATTTTAATACTAGAAGTAGGGAAATGGCTTCAGAGCAAAGATATGGAAAGATAGAAGGTGGTTTAGAGAGAAAAATGATGCATTTGATTTGGGACATGGTAAGTTTAGAATCCTAATAAGATATTCAAATAGATATATCTGGTGGTAAATTGGAATTGTCTCGTGGGTAGTTGGAATTCCTCGGGAACTGGAGGTGATGTTGAAGGAGGGAGTTTTCTTTACTCTTGAATTCCAAGAATTCTTAACCATGTTCATTGTAAACGTAATAACATAGAAAGCAATTGATTTCTCTTCTGGATGCTCATATTTCTCACTGCCTTATGGTACTTCTTTCTAATTTTGTGATAGTTATTTGTGTTTATAACTTACCTCTTTTACCAGACTATAAGTACTTTGAAAGTAAAGTTCATACTTATTATCTGTTTGTCTAGTAACAGTCCTAAACACATAAGGGTATAATTTGCTAAATAAATGATATAGTTACACTGTTTTTTTATTTTTAGTTTCTTCCTATTATAATCACTTTTCAGATTACTACCTTGACTTTGTGAAAAGGTTATGGACAGGTATGAATCATAGAACTTAACATGAATACAAGTAGATTATTTTCATTCTTGTCTATGAAAGTAGACATCAAATATAAGGAAAGGGGCTTCTTATCAAACCTAAGCCAATTCCCAAACTTCAGCAGGAAGAGAGATGATAGGGGTAGAAAGACAACCTAGTTTCAGGTGATAGTAATTTACACAAAATCTGGAAGAAGAAACTGCTATGTCTATAATCATTGGGAGAAAGAATACCTAAATAGATCGACTCTACTTCCCCTCCTTTGGGGCATCAAGTACTTGAAACATTTTCACATATTTAGAAATATTCAAGGAGAAACCTCATTCGAAACCAACTTCCCCAGAATAAAAAATGGCTGTCTAAAAAAGCAAAGTTCACAAAAAGAGAAGTTGAAAGAAAGTTAACTACTACACATTGTTACAGTAATTCATGTGTTATCTTAGGAAACACATAACTTGCTTTAAAGATCATTTTACTATAACTTCTTTTCAGTTTAATTACTATCAACAGATATTACATAAAATGGGGTATTTTTTACAGGAAGAGGGACCCAACATGGAAACAAATCTATGAGGAAAGTATTCCGTTCCCAATGCACTTGTTTAGCCTTCTTTCTCCACTACTTATTTTTTAATGGTCTGTACCTAAAAGTAGATGTGATCATTCTAGAATTCATAATTTCAAGAGATTCATAACAGTTGTCACCAGCAAATTCTCTGGCAATTTTATCTTGCTGATGGTAATTACTTAGATATTAAGAAAAAACAACAAAAAGTTGAAGGTCTCAAAAAAAGTTTTTAATTTACTGGATAATTGTCCAACCTTTTCTTTCCATTGATGAAGTTACATTTCAAGCTTCAAGTAAATATTTTAACTTGTAAATAATGATCTAATCCAAGTAATTTTTATTCATTCTTTTAGTCATCACTTACCAACTTCCTCTTCCTCTTTGAGAACAAACTGAGATGTGCATTGCTAAAA